TGGGGGCACTTTTGGGGAAAACCACGTTCCTGATCCTAAGCAACTTCCGATCCTAATGCAGCTTCCGATCATAAGGCAGCACACTTTACCCGATTTAGACTGTCAAGCACATGCCTACCGACTGCAAACAACGCACTCCGACATCCTACCTTCTTCTGAGAAAGCCACACCTCGGTCGACAGATCCCCTTTAGGGATAGCTGAGAGATCAATCCACCCAATCCTTATGGCGGATTGAAAATCTCCACAATATCTGCTGCCGTCAGACTCGTTGCCGGAGTCAAAGCCGGCAAAAGACCAAGCTCTTGTCGAGCTTCTGCAATAGTCATACGGGCACGTTCTGCCACTGCACCAAAGTCGGAACCTTCTCCAACTTCTGCATTCATATCGGTTGCAGTCTCTTCTGCAATCACCTCGACTGGATCGAATCCAGACTCCATTCTGCTCGCGGGCACAGACACTTCTGAAGGTGTAGGGGGCTGAGCAGAACCTGTCGAACGCCCTCTCTTGGCACGAATCAAAGCTTCGGCACGTGCACGAGCAACTTTCTGGAGGATATTGGCCGGATAGGCTGAAGCAAATGGCAAAGGCGGCCCTGCCGCCTTGGATCGAGCTCCCTCGATCCCTCCAAAAGGAATCTGCATCCTCTCTGCCAAATTCTCCCTCTGCAAAGCTCCAACGGAAACACCAGAAGCTGGAGGCAACACCGCTCCAGGCCTGCCAACACGCGGTCTCCCCGGAGGAGGCCCCATTGGTTCTGATGGTCTTGGCCGTTTCGGGCCTATAAATCCTGGTCGAAGAGACAAGGGAACCTGTGGCATCGCCTTGACCGCGGGCGTTAAAGCTGCGGCACCTCGTTCCAACTCTGCGTTGAGGCGATTGACATAGGCCTGCATCTCCGCAACATTGGAGAATTGCGAGGTTCCACCCTCGAACAAAGGCGGTAAAGGTCTCGGATAGAGAGATTCCAGTAAGGAAACCTCCGCAGGCTTTAGCCCTTCCAGCGAATTTAAACATCCCGAGTACTGCCTCAGCACATGGAGCCGAAACACGG